ACTTCGGGGGAGGCTGAAGGGCAGGGAGAATGTCATGAACCCCTGGAGGGTTGGAGCTTGGCAGTGGAGCCGAGATTGCTCCGGCACTCAGGCCCTGGTGGTAACAGGAGCAAGAGATCGTCCAAAAAAAAAAAAAATTAATACTCATTCTAAAGGCAAAGAAATTGGGGACTCAGGGTTAAATGACTCGCCAGGATCGTTGCGAGGGTTAGCAACGGCAGACCGTTTTTGTAAGGTCATGCCTTCACACTCCTAAGTCAAGAATTGCGGCTCTGTAACATTTACCCGCGGCCTGCGGCCAGAAAAAGCGGTATAGCAGTGGTAGAGTGTGAGGTGGCAGTCAGAGCCAAGAGCCTACAGTGCTGGCGGGTGCAACTGCTGTTGGCCTAGTGGGGACTGGTGAAGTGGAACTTGCCAAGGGGCTTCAGGGGGATATTTAATTGAGATCAAACGGCTTGATACCCAAGGGTTTTCACCCCCGAGTAGCTGGGACGACAGGTGCATGCCACCACACCTGGCTAATTTTTTGTATTTTTAGTAGTGATCGGCTTTCGCCATGTTGGCCAGGATGGTCTCGATCTTCTGACCTCGTGATCTGCCCGCCTTGGCCTCTCAGAGTGCTGGGATTACAGGCGTGAGCTACTGTGCCCGGTCTCTAGCCTTTCTAACGGTGTGCTATGGACAGTTAATGGTGTAACTTTAAAACTTGGGAGGAGGGGAGTTCTGTAGTCAAAAGTTTGAGAAATGCCTGACTAATCCAAATTAAACAGGTTTCTCTGTTGTAGGCTGCCTCAGAGCCTTTAGTGCTGAGGTGCAGTGATTCCTTACAGGGTGTTATCGCGTGTAATGTACCTTGGGAAAAGCTATGTTGATGAGGGAGATTGATTATTCCTTACAGGCCAGAGCTAGGTCTATTCATCCCAGAGTCCCCTCATTTTAGAATAAGACTCAGGAAGTATGAGGCATTGAGGTGGTGTGTGAATGGATGACTGAAAGAATGGCTAAAAGGCAGTTCAGAGGGAAAGGCAGAGGGTAAGTCCCAGAAATACCTGTATTCTAGTCAGTGGTAAAACCCAGGTGTACTTCTGCTTTACGGGGCAAGACAGGGGTCTCTCCCTATTGACATGCCGAGTTAGAGGTGATAGGGACATATTGGTAGGAAGTTCCTCTGGGCAGTAGGAGAGGCATGGAATGGAAACTCAGGTGAGAAGCTAGCTAGAAGGGGATTTGGGAATAGCTTATACAGACTGATCTTCACAGCCAAGGATGTGGTTGATTCTTGACTAGAGTCAGCACCAGTTGTTCAAACCCAGCTACACGTTGGAATTCATCTGGGAAACTTCAAGAGAGAGATTCGTGCTCTGGTTCCAACTCTAGAATTTCTAACTTAATTAGTCTAGGCCAGTGGTTCCCAAACTTGTGTGCCCATTGGAATCACCTAAGGACTCTTTTAAATATTATAAAGTCCAAGACTCCCCCAGACTAATTAATCTCATTCACTGTGAGTGGGACACAGGCATCAGTATTTTTTAATTTTTTAATTTGTTTTTTAGAGACAGGGTCTTGCTCTGTTCCCCAGGCAGGAGTGCAGGGGTGCACAATCATAGCTCACCGCAGCCTTGAACTCCTGGACTCAAACAGTCCTCCTGCCTCAGCCTCCCAAGTAGCAGGGACTACAGGTGCTCACCATCATGCCTGGCTAATTAAAAAGAATTTTTTTTTTTTTTTGTAGAGACAGGGGTCTTGCTATGTTGTCCAGACTGATCTCAAATTCCTGGGCTCAAGCAATCCTCCTACCTCGGCCTCCCAAAGTGCTGAGATGACAGGTATGAGCCACCATGCCTGGCCAGGCATCAGTATTTTTTTTGAAGCTCCCAGGTGAATCCAATGTGCAGACAACTTTGGGTACTGCTGATATAGGCATTTTTTAAAAAACTCCCCTAATTTTAATGTGCAGGCAGGATTGAGACTAACTAGTCTAATGGTTCTGAAACTTGAGCGTGCATCAAAATCACCTGGAGGCCTTATTGAAACCCAAGTTTCAAGTGTGGGCTGCATTCCCAGAGTTTCTGATTCAGTAGGTCTCGGGGAGGGGAGCTGTGAATTTGCATTTCTAGCTATTCCTTAAAGGTTGCTGATGCACCTGGTCTGGGGACCACACTGGGGTTCCCTTGATCTCAATGGGATGAATGGAATCAGGAGTGGCAGAGGCTGGATGCTTATTAAACAGAGACGGGGTGAGCACAATTATCTCAAGAAGCCACAGGGCTAGAGTAGTAACCAGAATGTTTTGACTGGCAGGAACCTGTGGGTATAATCGTGGGGGTCCCTGGAATTAAAATAAATGGGGGCCAGGCACTGTGGCTCACGCCTCTAATCCCGACACTTTGGGAGGCCGAGACGGGCGTATTACCTGAGGTCAGGAGTTCGAGACCAGCCTGGCCAAAATGGTGAAACCCCATCTCTACTAAAAATACAAAAATTAGCCGGGTGTGGTGGTGGGTACTGTAATCCCAGCTACTCGGGAAGCTGAGGCAGGATAATTGTTCGAACCAGGCGGAGGTTGCAGTGAGCCAAGAGCACACCACTGCACTCCAGCCTGGTGACAGATTGTCACTCTGTGTCAAAAAAAAAGAAAAAACGGATGGTGTGCTTACTGAAGTGCTGCTTGGCATATACAGAGAGGTCATGGGAGGTCTTCAAGAACCATCTCAAGGACGGGAACCTGGGAAGGTGATTGTAGGGCTAGGAAAGGGACGCATGTGGTCAGGCATTGGTACAGGCCGTGGGGAAGAAGCTTCAGCCCAGAGGTAGGGCAGGGCGTGGAGGGTAGGTGGTGACCTGTTTCATGTGGTTGAAGGACAGAACCTGGATGAGGAATTGGCATGTCATGAGGTTTATCCCAAGTCTTTCACAGCCAGTGTTGATGATACAGAAGCTAAATAAAAGTGATAGTACCTTTCTATTACTCATTTTTCTGGAATGATTATTGGGCACCTCCTGTATTTCAGGCACTGTGCTAGTGCTGGGGATGCAATAGGGATAGGACCCAGTCCTTGCCCCATGGTGCTCTCAGCTAGATGACCAAGACAAACAAAAACAAGCAAATAAAAAATAATGACAAACCCCTAGGACTAGTGAGGATACAAGATCAACACATACAAATCAACTGCATTTCTCTATACTCACAATGAACAGGTTGAAACTAAAATAAAAAACACTACCATTTATTGGCCAGCTGCAGTGGCTCATGCCTGTAATCCCAGCACTTTGGGAGGCTGAGGCAAGTGGATCACCTGATGTCAGGAGTTTGAGACCAGCCTGGCCAACATGGTGAAACCTGGTGTCTACTAAAAATACAAAAATTAGCTGGGTGTGGTGGTGGGTGGCTGTAATCCCAGCTACTCGGGAGGCTGAGACAGGAGAATCACTTGAATCTGGGAGGCGAAAGTTGCAGTGAGCGGATATTGCGCCACTGCACTTCAGCCTGGGTGACAGAGTGAAACTGTCTCAAAAAAAACCAAAACAAACAAACAAAAACACAATACCATTTATAGTTGCTTCGGAGAAAATGAAATACTTGGGTATAAGTCTAACAAAGCATGTGTAGAATCTGCCTGCTGAAAAATTTTAAATTGCTGATGAAAGAGATCAAAGATGACTCAGATAAATGGATGACATGTACTTTGTTCATGGATTGGGAAACTGAACATAATGAAGATTTCAATTGTCCCCAAGTTGATCTGTAATTTAATGCCATTTCTATTAAAATCCCAGCAAGGGTTTTTTTTTTTTTTTTTAATAGACATAGGCAAGCTTATTCTAATAATTACGGAAAGACCAATTTTATCCTAGATTAGCTAAAAACAATTTGGAAAAGGACAGTTGGAGGAATCAGTCTACCAGGGTTAAGACTTGCTATGTAGCTACACAATTAAGCCTAGTTGGTATTGGCCAAGGGACAGATGGACACAGATCAATGGACAGAGTAGAGAACCCCAGAAAATAGACCTCCACAAGTATATACAACTAATTTTTTTTTTTTGTTTTTTTGAGACAGGGTCTTGCTCTGTCACCCAGGATGGAGGGTACTGGTGCTATTACAGCTCACTGCAGCCTTGACCTCCCTGGGCTCAGGCAATCCTTCCACCCAAGCCTCCCAAGTAGCTGGGACTACAGGTATGGGACAACCATACTGGTATATTGTATTTAGTATTTTTGTTTTTTTTTTTTTTAGATCGAGAGTTCTCTCTTCTCGTTTTTTGTTTTGAGAGGAGTTATCACTCATGTTTGCCGACCTGGGTGCAATGGCGTGATCTCGGCTCACCGCAACCCTTCCGCCCCGGGGTTCAAGCAATATCTACAGGCACAACACCACTAGGCCCTAGCTAATTTTTTTTGTATTTTTAGTAGAGACGGGGTTTCTCCATATTGGTCAGGCTGGTCTTGAACTCCTGACCTCAGGTGATCCGCCCGCCTTCGCCTCCCAAAGTGCTGGGATTACAGGCATGAGTCAACGTGCCCAGCTGGAGTTTCTCTCTTTTTGCCCAGGCTGGAGTGCAATGGCATGATCTCAGCTCACTGCAACCCCTGCCTCCCGGGTTTGATTCATCTGCCTCTACCTCTCGAGTAGCTAGGATTACAGGTGCATGCCACCACGCCCAGCTAATTCTGTATTTTAGTAGAGATGGGGTTTCACCATGTTGGCCAGGCTGGTCTCGAACTTCTGACTTCAGGTAACCTGACCGCCTTGGCCTCCCAAAGTGCTGGGATTACAGGCATGAGCCACTGTGCCCAGCCTATTTGTATTTTTTTGTGGAGACAGGGTTTCACTATGTTGCCCAGGCTGGCCTTGAACTCCTGGGCTCAAGCAATCCTCTCGCCTCAGCCTCCCAAAATGCTGGGATTACACACAATTGATTTTTGACAAAGGTACAAAAACAACGTGATGGAGGAAAGACAGCCTTTGAACAAAGGGTGCTGGGGCTATTGGACATCGTAGGTTAAAAATATGCAATTATAAACCTAAACCTTATACCTTATATAAAAATTGACTGAAAATGGATCATGGACTTTAATGTAAAACCAAATTGTGTAATTTTTTAGAACAAAACAGGAGAAAGTCTAGGCAAAGTGTTCTTAGATTTGACACCAAAAGTATGATCCGTGAAAAAATTTTTGATTAATTGGGCCTAGTCAAAATTAAAAACTTTTGCTGCACAAAACAGAATGAAAAGAGAAGTACAGAATGGGAATAATAGTTGCAAGCCATGTATTCAACAAAGGACTTGTATCTAGAATGGAGAAAGAATTCCTAAAACCTAACAGTAAAAAATCAAACAATTCAATTAGAAAATGGGCAAGGGCTGCCTCACACCTGTAGTCCCAGCACTTTGAGAGGCTGAGGTGGTCGGATTGCTTCAGCCCAGGAGTTCAAAACTGGCCTGGGCAACGTGGCCAAAACCCTGTCTCTACCAAAAAAATACAAAAGTTGGCTGGGTGTGGTGGCACATGCCTGTAGTCCCAGCTGCTTGGGAGCTGATGTGGGAGGATCACCTCAGCCTGGGAGGTCAAGGTTGCAGTGAGCTGTGATCATGCCACTGAATTCTAGCCTGGGTGACACAGTGAGACGTGAGACCCTATCTCAAAAAGAATAAAAAAAAAAAAATGCAGGTGCAGTGGCTTATGCCTGTGATCCCAGCACTTTGCGGGGCCAAGGCTGGTTGATCACCTGAGTGGGAGTTCAGACCAGCCTGACCAATATGGAGAAACCTCGTCTCTGCTAAAAATACAAAATTAGCTGGATATGGTGGCATATGCCTGTAATCCCAGCTACTCGGGAGGCTGAGGCAGGAGAATTGCTTGAACCCGGGAGGTGGAGGTTGCGGGTGAGTCGAGATCGTGCCATTGCACTCCATCCTGGGCAACAGAGTAAACTCCGAAACTCCGTCTCAAAAAAAAAAAAAAAAAGAAAAAAAGCCAATCACAAAGGGTACATAGTGTATAATTCTATGTACATAACTTTGTTCTTGAAAATAACATAATAGAGATTAGTGGTTGTCAGGGGGTCGGGATTGGGGTGACTGGGAGGAATGTAGCTATAAAAGAGTAGCAGGAGGATGACTTATAGTGATGGAAATGTTCTGTATCTTGGATTATAGCGGTTGTGTAAATCTACATATGTGATAAAATGGCACAGAACTAGACACATCATACGTGCTTGAATGCTAGGAACATTGGTGAAATCTGAATAAGCTCTGTGGATGCACCAACATCAGTTTGCTACTTGTGATATACTATAGTACTTTCTTTTTTTTTTTAAGGAGAAAAGGGTCTTGGTATGTTGCCTGGGTCTAGACTTGAACCTGGACTCAAGTGATCCTCTCACCTTAGCTTCCCAAGTAACTGGGACTATAGGCCCCTGACTAGTACAATACATTTTGTAGTACAATGTTATTATTAAGGGAAACCAGGTGAAGGGTTCATGGACTTTTTGCAACTTCCTGGGAATCTATAATGTATCTCAAAGTTGGTTTTTTTGTTGTTTTGTTGTGTTTTGTTTTTTGAGACGGAGTCTGCTCTGTCAACAGGCTGGAGTGCAGTGGTCGCGATCTGTGGCTCACTGCAACCTCCGCCTCCTGGGTTCAAGCGATTTCCCTGCCTCTGCGCTCTCCAAGTAGCTAGGACTACAGGTGCAGGCACCATCAAGTTTTTTAAAAACAAAACAAAAACAAAAACACAAATTTTTGGAAATGCTATCGAGGGAACCCACAAACGGCTGGGGCCTGGTGGCTTACGCCTGTAATTGCAGCACTGTGGGAAGCCGAGGCGGGTGGATCACTTGAGGTCAGGAGTTTGAGACCAGCCTGGCCAACATGGTGA